CTCTCATTTTACTGCACTAAATTTTATTTTACAGCTCTCACATCGATTCTTGTGCTCAGTCTTTTTTTTTGTTTTTCCAAAAAATCAAATGTGACCCACAACAATTGTGTCTACTGCATAAGATGGCTCTTCTCCTTTGAAAGGAGAAGTTGTTTTCCCATTATTTTTATACCATAATAATAATAAAAAACTTATATTTAATTTTGACATTGATCTATTACCATTTAATGACCCACATATATATTAAATAATAATAATCATTATATAAAAATATGGTCAATAACTAAAATTGAAAAAGCTGGTCTGTCATTGTCCAGCACACTTGAAGGGAAGCAAATTTTTGTGCAGATTGGTTAGCAAATTTTATTATTAACTATGGTAATCATGAAGATCGGTTGGTGTGGGGGATCCCCCTCCTGGTATAATTCTGCTTCTTAATGCAGATATGGCTGGTGTGGGAAGACCTCGTGTCTTAGTTTGTAATTCGTAATTGTCTCCTGTTCTTCTTTTCTTTGTTTGTTTTGGGGGTTTAGTCCTCCTTTTCTTTACCAAAAAATAAATAAATAATTAAAAAAGTAATATAAAATGATTGTAACCCTTTATATATATTTAAAAAAATACACGAAAATGGATCATAATATGTTAGTTTTCCTATACAAAAAAAAGGTTAGATTTATCTCATTTCAAATGAGATAACTAAATTTTTTACACACACAATAGATGGGTGAATCCCACTTCTTTTTTTTCTCTCATCTTACCTATCGATTTTACTTGCAATTTGTTTCTATATCATAACATAACTATTTTTTTACAACATAAAAAAATTATTTTCCATAAAAAAAGGATTCGCTTTTTCTACAGTCAATGTAGATACCTTATCAATTGAGCCCAAAACGACGTCGTTTTGAGACAAAAATCAAGGTATTTTTGTATTTATAATTTATTTCAGGGTTATAATAGTCTTTTCATTGTAATTTTGTAATTTTTCAACTCAAAACGATATCGTTTTGAGAGCAAATGTAAATAATTTATCTATATTCACTTTAGAAACATTAAAATCAAGAAAAAAAAGACAAATACAACAAACACAAAAATGATGAAAATACCCACCTAAAAAAGAGAAAACGACAATAAACGGTCACGGATTTTCATATATATCCGCGTTTTTCGTTATCTTTGTTGGGGAAAACTCTACTCTTACGAAACAATATGAGATTAAAAAAACAACTTATTATAACTTTTAACATTACACAACGAGGTGTAAGAAAAATTATAATTTTTATAAAAGGGTTCGTTTTTCTAAAATTATTTTAGATAATTTTGTAGCCCTTATATATCTAGGGTTCATTTTTTGTAAAGATAACTTTAGATAACTTTGTAGCCCTTGTGTATTTTTTTATAATTTGATGGCACCGAAATTTTAGTAGTTAATCTTTCTTTGATCTAACGACTGTATTTATAATTATGTGATATCATTGATCTTTCTCAAATAACTCTTGGATAAGATATTAAATTTTTTATTTTGTACAGATGTCAAAAAATCATATGTTTAAATAAATAAATATATATATATATTAATTTTTTACCATAATATCGTCATTTTTAAAATGATGTTTGACAATCGTTCATTACTTTTACTTATAAAATTTGTGTAGAGTAAATCTAACCGACAATTTCTCCAGCCAAAAACCATAGGGAAACACGCCATACATAAAATGAATCTGGGGCTAGCCCTGACTCTGGTATGTCACAATCACAAGTATATAAAATGAATCAGAAGACCGACACCTGGCGAAATGGACAACGGAGCAAGCCCGCTTTAACCTCACACAATCTCAATCACAACTCTCAAACCTGCCCAAATATTTTCCCTCTACCTACCTTCTTTATTAAATAATTTTGTGCACAAAAAAATGTACATACATTTATGTATTATTATTTTTATAACTACTTTCTGTGAGTAATATTTCTCATTTATTCAATATAATTATCAATCGAAGTGTCTCAATTAATTTTTTATTTCAAAGTTGCGGTTGAATTTTTTTTTTAGGGGGTTGTTGTGTCCCTGGTCCTGGATGACATACAATCCCTTTGCCATTGGTGAATTGAAATTGTCAAATATGATGGTCGCATGCACATTGTAACAATACTTACCCTTTTTGTTCATTGTAACGAGGACGTGTAAGACTGAGTTCTGGAAAATGGAACAGGCGGGGACACAGGGAATTGGGAGTCAACGAAAAGGGTCCCTTTCACGAGTTCCACCCGACCTAATCAACCAACCACCAGGTTGTTCATATTTGACAACCTAGCTAGTCAAAAAAATAAGGGGATAGTTCATTAATTTCTTTTTAGTTGTTTCAAATCATTTATATTTTTGTGATTTTTTGTTTAGTACATATGTTCCTGTAATTTGTAGAAAGTAAAAAATTACAGGAGTATATATGATAAAAAAATATACTCTTTTCCAAATCACATGTGCATATATGATAAAACAAAAATCACAAGGACATAGATGATTTTGAAATAAATCATATGACCATTGGTGAACTTTTTCAAAAAATTAAACGTCTTGTTAAAGACACCATGTATTATAAGTAGTACCTAATTATAAAATTAAAATTATTTTTTATTTTTCACGTTAGCAAATAGTGTCTAAAGAGAGAGAAAAATATAATTTTAATATTATAACTTTGTATTACCCATAATACATAGTTATAATTTGTTAAAAGGACATAAGTTACATCATTTAAAAGGACGAATGATTTTCCCAACTTTAAAATCGTGGTTAATAATATTTCTTAAAGAAGTTATCCAAAAAAAAAAATTCTTAAAGATATAAAAAAATATTTAATTGAAAATGCAGCATTTAATATATTTAAATTTTAAAAATTCTTGACAAATACTTTAAGAATGTTCATTAGTATTTGTCAATATTTTATATATGTAATAATTTTTTTAATATTTTTTACTAAATACTTTCAATGATTTAAAATTAAAAGAGTAAATAATAATTTATTTTAAAATTTAATATATTTAATAATTGTTTTTATTTAATATTCTTAATTATTTAATCTATGTAGCCATTGTTTATAAAATTCGAAAGGTTAACGGTGGCAGTTTAGTTAGGAAGTTGATGTAGAATCTATATGATATCTTACTCAAATGAGTTATTGTTAGTTTCACAATAAATATTTAAAATTTTATTAAACATAATTAGAACTTTGTCAATGAATACTTAAGATTATTTGTTAACATATTAAAAATAGAAAATATTAAATATAATATAGGTACTGGAGTAGGGATCGTTTGTTTATCATAATACTTATGTCTAGAAAACTAATTAATTAATGAATGTGATTATTGAATTAATTTCCAAAACTTTTTCATTTGATATATATTATCTTATCTTAAACTCTTGTCATTTAATATAAATATTATATCATCTTTATTTTCTCAATATAAATACTATTTTGCTTTTTCTCAAGAATATACTATTTTACTTAATAGTTAGACACTAATAAAAAAGTAAAAAATACCCTCAAGAAAACACAATAGTACTATAAAATGACATAATTCATGTCATTTAAAATGACAAACACCAAATTCATAAATTTATGTCATTTCATGTCTTATAATTATGTACTTCGGAAAGTATATAATTATAATATAAATTTTTTTTTTCTCTTTTCATAAACTTTTTAAGACTTGTCGGCTGAGAAAGAGAGAAAAAAAAAACTTTCATATTATAACTCCATACTTCCCTAAGCAAGGAGTAAAAAAAGATAAACTTATATCTTTTAAAAAATACACCCTAAACTCCATCATTGTTTATACCTGTATCATTCATATTTCAAAAAGGTAAATATTTTTAGGAAAAAGTATTTGTCCTTTTAAATGACACAACTTATATCCTTTCACTCTCACAAAGATGTGAGACCCACACTATTTTTTTTGTCCACTCTCTCTTCCTTTATCTATCTCTTTCTCTCACTTAAAATGACACAACTTTACATCCTTTAAAATGATACACATTTTACCCACATTTTTATCATTCATATTTCAAAAAAGGTAAATATTTAAAATTTTACAAAATGTAAACCAAAAATTACCAATTAAATTTATTCATATAGACATCTGCATAATGCGTGACTAATTAGCTCAAGAATAATTGCATAGGTATATGCCGGTGTTATTTAAATTTAAATTATGTTCGAAATTGTCTGGTTTCCAAGTATTTTTCCACTTCGAAGGAGATATGGATTTTCTCATCTGAAAAAAAAAATGATATAGGTATATAAAAAAGCATAACCATACAAAATTGAATTAATGTAATAAAAGAAGAAAGAGAAAAAATATTAAAATAAGTAATTAAAAAATTATAACCATTAATTCACTTTTATATGATTATGATCTTATCATATAAGTATGTTATTTTTTATTTTTTTTCACATGAGACTTTCCATAGATACATATCAAGTAGAAGGCGGGTTTTATGGTGTTTGTTCTTGCATATAATGACAAGCCAAACTGGATAACCTTTTAATGTACATAGACAGATAGGGAATAGAAGAGAAGAAACAATAAATGAAGTGCAGGGTGCAAGCCAATCAATGAATAGGGTCGATGGAGGGAGTGAGTACCACAGACCAAGGAACGTCCGAATCAAGTATTCGTTGTCAATGATGAAGATGGATTCAATTCAATTCCTCGCCAAAAGAAGAAACCTCTCCTGCAATTCAGTAGCCAGTCCTCAAAAAAGAAGCATTTCATGGGTCAACATTGCCTCAAGTTACATTATATCCACAATTGCATCAGGAATTTAATACATAACAGTGACTCCAATAACAACAGTTTACCAGCTATTCTCTTGAATTTCTCTCCCTTGTATTGTTTCCACTTTCGGAAGAAAGAATGTTTTGCGGTTTGCCACTCAATTGTGGGCCTGTACTTTTGATTTATCTGATGATATGTATTTTCAACTAATATATTTCGGGAAAGCAACTGGACGTTTAACATAAACCACAAAACAAGTTTAGGATTCTGAAATTCTCCTAATTGAAAATCTGTTGACAAGGAACATCATTCTCTGTATTAACTCTTCAAACGATGGGCGTTGTTCTGGATCACTGCTCACATTCAACACAAGTAAAATTTTTAGTTTGAGTAAGGAGGCAACCTCTACCATAATAAAACTGAAGGGGTGAATATATATATATAGGAGCACCTTCGCCAGCAGTCATCGATGATTGATGCTACAAGGGGATCAAGCCCCTCCGGCAGGTCCAGTCTTCTATCCATAAAGCCTACGACTCCAACAACCTTTTAAATGAAATACAGTAGTTACAGCAAAATGACTACGGAGCTCACTAGCTCAGTTCTCTTCCTGCTTAAGTTGAATAATGCTATTTACACACTCTCATACACATCACCTTACATAACTTTGATTAACCAACAATCTACATGTACTTTAATCCCTTTCGTATTGGTGGTTAAGTATAGGTAGTAGGTTTGAAATTAGATAGTTGGTTAATCAAAGTAATGTGAGGTGATGTATGTGAAAGTACGTGTGAGTAGCATTATTAGCTTGAGTTATCTGTGTAGTAAACTAGAGTGTACAACGTGAGTGTCAGAGAGAGAGAGAGAAACCTGAAAGAAATTCAAATTTTTCCATGGAATAGATTGAGTCATTAGTTCCCAGAGGATGACACCAAAACTGAACACATCAGACCTGTTTTGAAAATAAAAGCTAAGTCATTACATCAGAAGCATCAAACGGCATTACCAATTTAATATGATCCAGGCACTGCTTGGCAGTGCAGAATAACTATGAAAATCGTGATGTTTTGAAACTGGACAAGGTAGAATAATGATTGAGAAAACTCTAAGGCAGCTATATTGAAGTTTCTCATCAAACATAAGATCGTAACCCCTATAAGGACATTAAAAGCTGATTGAGCTACTCCCCAAGACAATTAAAAAATAGTTACAAAGAAGCACGTTTGGAAAATTTTCTGGAAACATCCTCAAAAGTTTTTTAAATCTCTTCAATTTTTCAGAAAGTTTACTGAACATTTTCCAGACTGAACGCAATCTTTAAGTCTCAGCTCCAAGGAATTACTTCTCATTGGAAGGTTCACTTCGAAGGATTTCAGGGGCCATCCATTGAGGCTGCATTTTGAGAAAAAAGGGCTTGTTAGCAACAGAGAGTAACAAAACTACAATAACTAAATCTAAAATAAAGATTTTACTGTTACTAGCTGTTCAAGTCAGATGCTTTGTATGTAAAAAGTGAAAAAGTGAGTGCTATCATTACGGTGCCTCTTCCAGATTTTGTAGTCAATAAAGTTGCATCCTTCAACCTTGACAGGCCAAAGTCTCCAACCTGAGAAAAAACAAAAACTCATGTATCACCTGGTAAAATTCAATCTTCCAAGGACTACTTAATACATTTTCAAGCAATCATTACCTTCACAGTCCAGTTTTTATCAACAAGCAGGTTAGAAGACTTAAGGTCTCTATGCACAATTGGGGGATTTCTGTGATGAAGATAATTCATACCTCTAGCCTGCAATGAACAAAAATGTGATTTATGACATTGCAACAATGAAGGCTCAGCAAACCACCAGCTTGCTAATAACATACCAGAGAGAGAGAGAGAGAGAGACAGAGAGAGAGAGAGGAAACACACAACATCAAGGGCCATCCTTAGACGCCTTCTGTTGTCTAAACCCTGATTGTTCTTGTGAAGAGTTTTGAAAAGGCTTCCCCTACCGTGCAAAATAAAATCAATGTACGATGGTTCCCAATAATTTCCTTATGAAAAGAAAAACAAAAAGATGCATGGTATTTAAACTAAGAAGTTGAGAGATTCATATTCAATAATACACAAATCTATTATCTAATGACATAAAAATACAATGGATGCATGGTACTTTATGTGCATCTAAACTAAGTCCTTTTAACAGTTAATATAACAAGTTCTAGATGAAGTCGTCCTAAATCTTACCTAGGTAATAACTCTGTCACAATGGCAAGCCTTTCCTGCGAATATACTGCCCCCATGAAAAGCAATACATTAGGGTGTCTCAATCTCTTCATTATATCAATCTGAAGTATGCACACAAAAGATCCAGGGATGAGCTGCTTTCTATCTTGTAAAGAACCAATTTAACCTAAAAGCTTAAGCTATTGGGTGAGGTTACATTAATGATTTTATATATCTCACATGCTCCCTCACACGAGAGCCCACTGGGATTGAAGGGTGGACAATGCACAGGCCCACCTACCTATGCGAAGAAAGAGATTCCACTTGAAAGAAAGTGGGGGGCGGCGAGGATCGAACCCAGGACACGAGGCTCTGATACCATGTAAAGAACCAATTTAACCCAAAAGCTTAAGCTATTGGGTAAGGTTACATTAATGATTTTATATATCTCAACATATCTCAAGCAAAAAAGAAAAACTTGAGATACTGTTGAGATATATAGTCCCACATTGGTTGAAGAGCAACTAATGTGGAGTTTATAAGGCCTTGGGCACTCCCACCCTTTGAGCTAGCTTTTGAGGTGGTGTATCCCAAGGTTCTTTACATGGTATCAGAGCTTGAGGTTCGATTCTCACCGCCCCCCACTTTAAAGTGGAACCACAAAAGGTAAACCAAAGATTGGGCCTGTTGCATAATCCACGCTTAAAGCCAAGAGGGCTCTTGCGTGAGGAGGCGTGTTGAGATATATAGTCCCACATTGGTTGAAGAGCAACTAATGTGGAGTTTATAAGGCCTTGGACACTCCCATCCTTTGAGCTAGCTTTTGGGGTGGTGTATCCCAAGGTTCTTAATAGATACCTCTTTTTTGTAGTCTTGTAAAGTCTCCTCTGTGTATCCATTCCCGAAGTAAACCTTGACGGCAACATCCTGATGAAAAGAAAATAAGTTTAAGGGCAGATGGCAAGTCAATACTCCTACTACGACAACCGAAGAATATATTACATTTATACCGATCCATTCCAAATTCCATGATAAACAACAGCATAAGAACCTGCAAAATAAAATAAAATGTACTGAAGTTTGATATCATTAGTTGAAATAATAATATACAAAATCATTTCATGTTCTATATCATAACAAAGACGCAGATAAGATCTTAATTATTTTAAGACAATAGAAATTTATTGTCCTAAACTCCGCCTATGTGTCTAGGTATGTATGCAAGCATGGCCTATTCCAATTAAGGGTAAAGGAGAAGGGTTGGTGTCAGACTAAATAAACCGGCCGTAAAAGAAAACAACTATTTTTATTAGACGAACCCTTATGATTTTTTGTTGGAGCGGATCCTTCTTAGTGACGTCGCCAACGTGTTGCATCGGACTTCAGATGTACCGAAAAATGGGCTATAGCCCTTGCCCCAAGGCAAGGCACTACATCTTTACCCGGATTTGATGACAAGTGCCAAGGGATAAGGATGTAATTAGGAAGCTGGAACATAGAAACCTCAATGGGTAAGTTGAGGAAGTTAGCAACATGTTTTTGCTAGAAAAAGAGTGAATATTGTTTGCTTGCAGGAGACTATGTGGGTTGGAGAAAATGCTAAAGAAGTGGGAGGCATTGATTTCAAGTTGTTGTACACAAGTATAAACAAGAGCAAAAATGGGTGGGGATTATGATTGATAAAAGTTTAAGAGACAAGGTTGCTCTCTTGCTGATATCAGAAGAAAAAGTGACACATTACTTTGGTTAATTTGGTAGTGGGTGATTTAATTTTCAATATCTTGAGTGTATCCCCCCCCCCCCCCCCCCCCCAAGTTGGACTACAAGTATCTTATATGAACCAATTATGGGAAGATTTGCAGGAGGTTTTATGGGGACACCACGTGAGGAGAAAATTTTCATAGCAGGAGATCTAAATAGACATGTTGAACAAAGCAGTAGAGGTTTTGACAACGTTCATGGAAGTTTTGGTTATGGGACTATAAATGAGGCTGGAGAATATATCTTGAACATTGCACCAGCTTATGATTTAATGCGGCAAACAACTTTTTCTGAAAAAGAGAGTCACATTTAATCACTTATCGTAGCCGCAAAAATTATAGCCAAATTGATTTCTTTAAGGCTAGAAGAGAAGATAAAACCTCGTATGTAAACTGTAAGTCTATCCCGGAGAATGTGTAACTACGCAACATAAGTTGGTGGATTTAGATGTTTGATTAAACAAAGTACAAGAAATGCGGAAGAGTGATAATAACCCAAGTGTAAGATGGTGGAAGCTAAAGGAGGAAAAACAAATAGAGTTCGAGAAAAGAATGCTTCAAGAAGAACCATGATAGTTAGATGGAGAAACAAATGAAATGTGAAACGACATGACTATTTGTATCCAAAAAGTGGGAAGGGAGGTCTTGGGAGAAAGTAAAGGGAACAAATTTCAAACAAAGGAAACTTGATGGTGAAATGAAGAGGTGCATAGGAAAATAAACAGAAGAAGGAATGATTTAGATATTTGCATAAATATCCTACTGAATAGAACTTGGAAAAGTTTAGATTAACAAGATAAAATACTAAGGAAGCAGTGCAAGAGGCTAGAGGCAAAGTTTTCTCTAATTTGTACAAAAAACTTTTGAGCAAAGAAGGTGAAAAAGGTATCTATAAATTTGCAAAGATGAGGGATAAGAAAAGTAAAGGCTTGACCCAAGTTAGATGCATTAAGGATGAAAGTGAAAAACTTTTGGTAACAGATATAGAAGTCAAAGAAAGGTGAATAAACTATTTTAACCACCATTTTAATGGGGATAGCAACAACAGTGTGGTGGATTTAGAGGACGCTTTTAATGATTTGAATAGACGGTTTGTGCATAGAATTAAAATGCATAAGGTTAAGGAGACATTAAAGAAGATGAAGACTAATAAATCTTTGGGACCCGATGGCGTCCCTATGGAAGTATAGAGATGCCAAGAGGAAGTGACAATAAATTGGTTGACAAATGTTTTTAATAAAATTCTCCAAACTCATAAGATGCATGATATATGGAGGAAGAGTATGCTTGTGTCTATTTACAAAAATAAAAGAGATATCCAGAATTGTTCTAACTACAGAGGCATCAAATTTATGAGTCATACTATGAAGTTGTGGAAGGGAATTATTGAACATCCCTTGAGAATAGAGACCAAGGTCTCTATAAATCAATTCGGATTTATATCGAAAAGATGTACCATGGAGGGTATTTTCTTGATATAACAATTGATGGAAATATATCAAGAAAAGAAGAAGACCTACATATGGTTCTATTGATCTTGAGAAGACGTATGATAGGGTTTTAAGAAATATTCAATGGTGGGCTCTTGAGAGGAAAAAAGTATCATTAAAGTATGTAGATGCAATCATAGAAATGTATGATAGTGTTATTATATGTGTGAATGTTTGTAATGGAACATCAAGTTATTTTTCTATCACGATAGGTTTACAACAAGATTCTGCTTTGAGTCCTTATCTTTTTGTTCTAGTTATGGATGAAAGTTGAAACAACAAAAGATATCCAAGACGAAGTGCTATATTGTATGCTATTTGTAGATGATATTGTGCTGATTAATGAGTCCAAAGCTGGCGTTAATAAAAAACTAGAATTGTGGAGAAACATGTTTGAGTCTAAGGGATTTATGCTAAGTCGAAGTAAGACTAAGTATATGAAGTGTGAGTTTGATTCGACAAGAGATGGAGATCAAGATTCCAAGCAATTGCTTGGACATGAGGTTCTAAAGAAAGATGTTTTTCAATATTTGTAATCTATTTTGCAAAAGGGTGAAGAGATTGATAAGGATATAAACCATAGAATCAAAGGTTGGATGAAATGATGCAGTGCATCAGGGTTTTAGTATGATTGGAAAATTCCTTTGAGGCTAAAAGAAAAGCTTTATAGAACAACAGTAAAGCCTGCAATGGTATACAGAGCTGAATGTTGGTCAGCACACAGGCAAATGAGCACAAAATGGGAGTAACATAATTGATGATATTGAGGTGAATGTGTGGTCGTACAAGGATGGATAAGATAAGAAATGAAAATATTCGACGAAAGGTAGGAGTTGCATTGGTGGACGAAAAGATAAGAGAACATAGATTGAGATGGTTTGGATGTAAAACACTAAAGAGATATTCTCGAATAAAAGTCAATTTTAATAAGACTTACATTCCAAGTCTTCGGTATAACATTCATATATAATTAAAGTTCAAAATACGTAGATAACATTCATCGGTTAATAATCGAAGGATGTTACATTGGGCATATAATGTGAAGACCCCTAGATGCTCCGTGAGAATGAAAATTTGTTACCAAGAGCTTGACACAAACAGAGGAAGAGGTCGGCTGAAACTTTCTTAGGGGAAAATAGTAAAACAAAATTTAATGGAGTGGAAATTAGATTGACTAATGGTGTGTCTTAAAACGATTGGAGGAAAACTATTAGCACTGTATTGGTGTAAACCTATTTTTCTTCCTATGTTCTAGACGCTCCCCATCTAGTCCTTTTTCCTTATATTTCCCTTCATTTATTTATTTTCTTCTCTAATTTATCTTTCCCTTTCATTGATCCATTTTTATTTTCTCTATCTATTTATTTCTTTCTTTCTTTTCTTTCCTTTTATTTTTTCTCTCTCTTATCTATCTTTATTTTCATTCTATTTTTTTCATATGTTTCTTTTTAAATTTTTATTTATTTTCCTCTTCTTATCTTCATTTTCATTTGGGTTCTTCGACCACCAACCTAAACTAGTTTGAGATAAAGATGTTGATGTTATGTTTTGAAATTTATTGTCCTACCTCAAGATCTTGAAGCATTATTCTGAGACTACGCATTTTCCCTCAAAGTAAGAGATTGAGTTTACTTGTGGCACAAGGGATTCTAGGCTATTAAGAGGAAAAAATTGATAAGATGTCCGGCATTATTCTGAGACTGCTTCATAAACAAGAGGTATTATTAATTTCTATATACAACTCTGTAGAAATCTTCACTCAATGAACTTCAGCCTAGTATTAGCATACTAACAAATAAAAGCATTTTAGCAAACTTCTCAACTTAGGAATCATAAAATGCATAATAGATTAATTACCTTGTCCAATTTCCTGTCCTAATTGAAGGTCTTCCCAATGGATTTCACATTCTACAACAGAGTTTGACTCATTATCTCCTTTGCTTGATGAACTTTCATGGCTGCTTACACTCTCCCCTGAAATAGGCAATTGCAACCCCTCTTGCTGCTTTTGCACTTCATCTTCTATCACCATATTTGTAGCTTCTGGCTCCAACTTCTTTGGATCAAAATGGCAACGTAATCTTAACAAAGGGTCTTCGGGAATGGGAGAACCAAAACATTCATACCCCTCCCCTGAGAAAGGTTTAGCAGAACTATGTTTGAAAACACTGGAATTTCTTTGTGCACAAACTTGTGTATCTACTATCTTCATAGCAAGTAAAGAATTACACTTTCGGAGATTTAATTCCTCATCCACTTCCTTAGCAACATCGTGGGGTGGAGTTAATGCCACTGATCCTCCAGATGAATCATTTTCATTATTCACTCTATTGCTTCCTGAATTTTCAGTTGTGCAATGATTATTAAGACTTCCATTATCCTTCTCATATTTTCCACTTCCCCCAATTTGAAGTTTAGCAAGGACTCTGGCTGCCTGGAGTGATTTAATCATATAGATGATCATATATCTTAACCGGATAAAGGGTGACACAGAAGGTTCATAAGCACACAAATTTATAAATGAATATTACGTACTACAGATCAAACCAAGGCAGAATTCACAAATTCATATTGACTTCCAGTATATGCTCAGTGTCCACTAGCATACTTTGAAATGGAAATAAACAAGAGGATTGCATTTAGTTTGGTATCTAAGCTTCCAACTTATGCTTTCAGATGAAATATCACTTTATTAATACAAACCAAAATGAATACAGATACATATCTGACTAAATTTCTGAGTTCCTGGCATTTTCTTACAGCAGGAACTAGGCAACTGGAGTAACTAATAAAAGGCAAAATAGAAGATTTATTTACAATTTTAGAAGGTCGGCCAAATCCAGTAGTAGAGTCATCCTTCTCGGAGGCCTCCCCAACAGTTGTATTCTCTTTATTTTGATGTCTTGAATGAGGTTTTGTTTCCTGAAATTCAAAATGGGGAGCAAAAAATCTTGAAATATTCTCAAACTAAAATAGCTACTCAGATACACCTTCAAGCTGAACAGAGACATACATAGATGCTAAGCTTCTCTAATTTTTCATCATCTGCATCTTTTGAAGTATTCCTGGAAACTGTGTCATCTGTATGCCGGCGTGGGAGAAACTTTGATGCCTGATAGATATTAAATTTGATATAATTTCAGCAAATGAGATGGAATCCAAATAGAGAAGAGCAAAAAGAGAGAGTAAAGAACTGTAGTAATGAAACATATGAGAACCAGATTCGAAACAGAGGATGCAATATGTGGCATTGGTGCAATCAATGGCCGTGGAGGTCATTGAATCCTTTTGAAGTTTAACCTCTGTACTCCAGGTTGGCCATTAGCACCAGATTGATAAGTTCTTCGATTTTCTGAATCTATAGAGTTAAATACAGCTGCGTCACTAGAAACAGTGATAATACCAACAAGCTCCCCATCCTCATAAAGTGGAGTTTTTGTTACCATTGCCATGAATACTTCACCAGACCTCTTCTTGAAGGGAAACTGCCCAGACCATGGTTCTCCTTTGATCAATCTTTCCAGAATATTTTGTAGAGGTGCATAATATTCTTCACTAATTAGGAACTTATCTACTCTTTGTCCAATGATTTCGTTGTCCTTCCATCCATACAGAGTTTCCGCTGAGTGATTCCTGAAATGAAGAATTTAGGTTTGGCTCAAAAGCAATCTAAAAAAAACAAAAAGTTGAATCTTAAGATTGGATTTGATTGCTATTGAATTAGAAAGTGGAGGGCAGACACAAGTCTTAGAAATATTTAAAAGCCAAATTTCAGCCGTCACCTGCCAGCTTAAAGTTTCAGATCGAATGCTTACTTCACATTATGCCTAAGTCTCTTTCATCAAATGGAATTGAGCTTGAGCTTTATTCAAGCTTCAAGCCTAGCAGGCTTTTGTTTGAGGAGGATTTAGAGATTTTTACTTTTGCCCTCTCCTTATTAATCCCTTTAGGTCGAGTATTTTTTTTTACTATAGGTTGTTAATGATTTTGGTCACACAATGGATTGAGTCGGTCGTACTAACAAATCAGCTTCTATCAGTTCTGCATTGATCTTCATTTGCCTTCCAAGTATATAGATCCATGTATACGGACATACCTTCATAGAACATGGTATTTAAGTGATCCACAATAGCTAAACTTGATCAATACTTGTTAAGAAGCCAAGCATGCCTTCTAACAAGTGAAGCAAAGGCCAAAGGCAACGCAATATCTTGTGAACTTCCAAGAGAATGCCCAATTTCATCAGAGGACCAAAAAGTTGAACACTATGTCCTTTTTGATAAGGAAGATTTACACACAGGGTCTTCTAGTTCTAGGCATCTAGCCACACCATTATCCGCTTGAAATGTTTAAACATCCTGTATGCACAGCACAAATGGTTCAGGAAGCCCTATGAGTCTTTTCCATTTTCTACGTGGCGGAATTGGGAATGCTTGCATGAATCATTTAAAACATGTTCAACCTAGAAAACATTTCCACACCAAACAATAATGCTCTAAACGACAACATGAAACTAGCTTTTCATCGAACACATATCAAACGTTTACAACCAAAACGCATCTTATTTAGCGTCATCAAATCCGACACCGTTTTGTTCCCCCTTCCCTTCCCATCCCAACAGTATTCAACTGTTTCATTAAAAAGTGCAGCGTCATGAATATTCTCAGAGGAAAGTTACCAGAAAGGAAAAAAAAAATTGATTCAGAGGAAACCTTTTTGTAGAAAGAGAAAAAAGAAAAGAGAAGATGCAGTACTATATATTATCTATATTGTTACCAGTATATGATCTCTCCGGAGGAAGCTCTGTAGACATGAACGGCGTGGCCTATGCACTTCAACACGCTAGCATAGGGACTCCCAGTGAAGAAGTAACCGGAGAAAAAACTCATGGTTGAATCTTGGATCACCTCTTCATCGTCCCTTACCATGAGCTTCTTCTCCTGCATCAGTTCATCAAACTGCTCCCTTAGCTTGGCCTGTTTCTTCTCCAAGCTCCGACACCGATCCACCAGAACTTGGTACTCACTAATTTCTCTCTCCTCTCCGTCCATTGAAGTCGCCGGAGTGTGCAATGCGCATTACAGGTTGCGCCTACATTAGTTTATTCTGCAGTTCCCCTCAGTTGATTTCAGCATATATCATTTATTTATTATTATATTTTATTTTATTTTTTTACACGTGTCTGAGACGGCAGGGAAAGCTATCCTGTGCAGACAGGTGTTGAATTGCCGGAAGAAACAACGAATTGCGTCTCTCGGAACCTTGCCGCGTTTTTGGTTTTGCTTATCAGTTGGTTTTGCTTCTGTTTCATAATGGCCCCTGGATAAAACAATATTACTAGAGGTGACAACTGTTTTTTTTAAAAATACATCACTTTGCCAAAAGAATTACGAAAAAAATAACTGATTTACATTTTATTAATGGGATATAGTTTTAGAAATAAAGGTATAAGTGGGACCCACATGTAAGAGGAGAGAGAAAAAAAAAGTGGTGGGACCCAACTCCTTTTTGTGTGTGTAGGAGAGATGTTTATCTCATGTAAAATGAGATAAACATGACCCTTTATTAATTATTCATTTGATTTTCAATTTTTTTTCTTCAACTATAATTATTGTATAACTTTTTTTTTGTATAAAATAATATTGCTGTTATCGTTATATTCATAGGAAGATTGTAGACAGAATAAATGTATCTCGTATAAAACCCAATAATGTGTTTAGCTGAAAAGGAAGCAACGAAGGGAAGTGTAGCGAGTAGGTTGCTTACACTCAACTAAATATCCAATTACTTTTGGAAAAAAATATTCAATTACTTTTACAACTTATGCACTGCACGAAGGGACAACGGGAAAGACGTACAGAGAAAGTGATTATATACGATGACGAGTAACAAACCAATTTTGTGGCAACACATTGTCAACGACATTACCTACTTAAAACGCAACGTTAGGAAAATGGAGCAGGTGCTGGTCTGTCATGTTAGCTTGCTTGCGAGCCCAATCTATCTATAAAATAAAAAGTAAAGAAAACGGAGCTCGATCCTCTTATGTGAAAATGAGGAATCATAATTATACAAACGTAGATTAATGGTAATAAAGAAGAAGAGAAAAAAATATTAAAATAGATAATTATGAAATCATAACCGTTAATTTACCTTTATATGATTGTGATCTTCCATGATCATATCATGTTTGTTTTTTTTTCAACATGAGAAAGATTCATTTCCAAAAAAAAAAACAGTAGGAAATACAAAAAAAAAAAAAGGGAAAACAGAAGGTACTATCATCGATATAGTGATCAGGGGTTTGAATAATATATATGGGATTAGAGATTTAAACCTCAATTTTATCATTGTATCCCAAAAAAACAAAAATAAATAAATAAGAAAAACAGTTTCTGCCTCGCACAAACAAATCGGGGAATCCCTTCATTTATTATTATTATTTTTTTATAAGTGATTGGTCTCACAACATGATGTGCGTACAGGATATTAAAAAATTCTCCTTAATAGGAGAAACTTGTGTCCCAAAAAATAATAAGGGTTTTGAATCTGAAGTGCCCACCCATAAAGGCTCATAATTAAGCCAGGCCAACTGTGCTTCCACTCAGAATTGAGAGTCTTTGACAATTTTTCTTTTAAAGTTGACAATTTATTTTTAATATTATACAAAAAAAAATCAATTTTTTTTGGTGATTATATAAATTTGTGCTGATAATTTTAAAGGAGACAGATAAAATAATTTATTATTAAAATAAATTATTTGGGTAAATCATAAAATTTACAAATACAAATATAGAATGATGGTAAAACTGTAAAAATAAATATGGAGAGTAAAAAAAAAATTGGTATATATCTTAAAAAAAAAAACTCCTCTTAAAAGCTTTTAACTTTTAATTTTTTTACTTATTATAAAAAATCTCTTTTTATAATAATTTTTTTTTACGAAAACAAACCTATTTAACTACATTTATGCTTTTAAAGAGAAGATAAATTACAAATAAAATATGGGTTCGTTTTTTCTGCAGTTACCGCAGATAAGTTATCTACAGTAAGCCCAATACGACGTCGTTTTGGGGCGGAAATCATGGTGTTTTTGTAATTTTAATTTATTTCAGGGTTATAATAGTCTTTAAATTTATAATTTTTTAAGATTTCAATACCAAAACAACGTCGTTTTGGGAATAAATGCAGACAACTTATCTGCATTAACTGCAAAAATATATTTCCATAAAATATACCAAACAAACAGGCTCTAAGGGTGTGCATGACAACCATTCTATTCCCTAGCACTGTTTCTGAAAAGAAACAATTCTTTTCTATTTCTGTTCCTTGGAACAGTTTCTGAAGAAAAAAATGTGTTTGACAACATATTCTATTTTTATTCCGAGAATGAGAATTGTGTTTGATAACACAACAAATAATATAATAAAAAATAATTTCTATTAAATATAAAAAAAATTGGATCATCATTTTCCTTTCCATATGGTGTGGTTGTGGTGGTGGTGGCGGAGGGGTGGCATGGTGGTGGTGGCTGCGGCGGTACGACGGTGATGGTGGCAGTGACGTGGTGATGATAGTGGTGCTGGTTGTGATGACAGTGGCTACGACGATGACAGTGGTAGTGGTGACGGCAGTGGCTGCGACAATGGTGGGGGGATGGTGGTTGGTGGCATTGGTGGCGGCGACAATGGTAGCGGTGGCATGGTGGTGGTGGTTGTGATGGCATCATGGAGATGGTGGTGGTGGTGGCAGTGGCTGCAGGTGGTGGTAGGTGACAGTTGTGGTGGTGGTGATGGTGGCGGTGGTGGTGTAATGGTGACGATGATGGTGGTGGTGACAGTAGTGCCTGTGACGATGGTGGTGGCTGCAGCAATGATAGTGGTGGTGGTGGTAGCGGTGGCGGTAGTCGTGGTGGAGGTGACAGCAGTGGCTGCAACAATGGTGGTTGTGACATTGGTGGCGGCGACAATGGTAGCAGTGGCATGGTGGTGGTGGTGGAGGTGACAGCAGTGGCTGCGACAATGGTGGTTGTGATATTGGTGGCGGCGACAATGGTAGCGGTGGCATGGTGGTGGTGGTGGAGGTGACAGCAGTGGCTGCGACAATGGTGTTTGTGACATTGGTGGCGGCGACAATGGTAGCGGTGGCATAGTGGTGGTGGTTGTGATGGCATCATGGAGATGGTGGTGGTGGTGGCATTGGCTGCGGCGGTGGCGGTAGGTGACAGTGGTGGTGGTGATGGTGGTGGTGGTGGCGGCGACAGTGGTGGTAGTGGCGGGGGTGGTGTAATGGTGGCGATGGTGGCGGTAGTGACGATGGTGGTGGTGGTTGGTGGCGGCAGTGGCGGTAGTGTCGATGGTGGCTGCAACAATGATAGTGGTGGTTGGTGACAGTGATGGTGATGGTAGCGGTGGTGGTAGTGGTGGCAGTGACATTGGCGTGGTGATGCCGATGGTGACGGTGCCGGCTGTGGTTGCGATGGTGGTGGTGGTGACGGTGACAGTTGGTGGTGGTTGCAGCAGTGGTAGTTGTGGTGGTGGTGATGGTGGCATGGTGATAGTCATGGGTGGAGGTGGTGGTGGCGGTGGCGGCGGTAGTGGCGGGGGTGGTGTAATGGTGGCGATAATGGCGGTAGTGACGATGGCGGTGGTGGTTGGTAGCGGCAGCGGCGGTAGTGTCTATGGTGGCTGCAATAATGAAAGTGGTGGTTGGTGACAGTGATGGTGATGGTAGCGGTGGTGGTAGTGGTGGCAGTGACAATGGCGTGGTGATGCCGATGGTGACGGTGGTGGCAGTGGTTGCGATGATGGTGGTGGTGGTTGATGGCGGTAGTGGTGATGGTGGTGGTGACGGTGACAGTTGGTGGTGGTAGTTGTGGTGGTGGTGATGGTGGCATGGTGGTAGTCATGGGTGGAGGTGGTGGTGATGGTAGCAGTGACATCGTGGTGATGGGGGTGGTCACGACAGCACTAGTGGTACGATGATGGCGGCGACGATGGTGGCAGTGGTCGTGTTGGGATGATAGTGGTGGTGGTGATGATGGTAGAGATGAAAAGTGATTAAGAGAGATAAATGTTTCTCATTTTGTGCCTGGGAACAAAAAAAACAGAAATTTTCTGATTCTTTTTTTTGTTTCCCAGCACAAAAAATAAATCGATTTTACCAAACGAGTTTTCTATCCATTTCTGTTCCCGGAACATAAATTAAAAAAGAATTGATTTCGGGAAGGTTGTCATGCGCACCCTAAATATAATCAGCTAACGACATGTTGCGACATGAGATCAGAATTCTCTTACGTTGTTAAATAATAAAAGAAGTTTTTATTTAGGGGATTACTTCTCTCATGTAGTATGAGAGAATTTTTCTCATGTTAAGAGACAAATAAAGTGGGCCCCACCAACTTTTAGAAAAAAAAATAGGCACATTTTTCGAAGGGAGAGTGACATGAGAGATCCATCTTATACAACATAAGAGCAGTGTTTTAAAACCCCACCCCACCCCTCGGGTTGACCCGGGTCAACCCTGACCCCTCCCCTTTGAGGGTTGGGGTCACAAGTTGGACCCTATATGCACATCGACCCCTCTGACCCCCAAAACCCAGCCGGGTTTCAGTGACTCCTAGGTCAGACGGGTCGAAGGGGGTCATTGCATATATATATATTTTTAAAAAAAAAATTCCATGAAATGACATTGTTTTATTAAAAAAATAAAATAAAAATCCTTGCAAACCTAAATCTTATCGTTCTATTCTCTCCCAGTCCCAGCGACTTAGACTTCTTCAATCTTCACCTCGCTGCCATAAATCTTCTAGAAAAGATACAAATTTACCCATTCAAATGAAATCTTTATGGTCGTCGATGAAAAACAAAAATTCATTCTTACTTCTTTTAAATTTTCCTTTGTTAGAGACCTTCTCAAAAGAGGCAAAACCAGATCAGCGTAGTGATCCCATTAACTTGTGGTTGTAATCGGTGAATTATTTTAATTATATTTTGAATCTTTGATGATTGGTGGTTTATTTTTTAATATTTTCATATAGGATATATATATT